AAAAAAAAGAAAAATATTGTGACCTCAGCGTGGTATCAGAGAAAAGGGGAAAAAATCCAGTGCGATGACAGTGGTTTGAGTTTCTGCGGCGGCTACTTAATGCGGGAGAAGTGTTGTCGGTTGAATTTGAATTGAAGACAAAAAAAAACAAAAAACAAAAGGGGTTCAATCTGTGCAAGGAGCGGCAGATTTGGTTGTGAAAATCGAAGACATTAATTGTGAATTGAAGCAGCTGAAAATTAAATTAAGCAAACAGCTTAATTTTATTATTGGAGCATGCAGGTTAATTTATAATTAAGGAAGAGAATTGTTTTGTTCTTTGTTTTTGATAAATTCATGATGGATATTGACAAAGGATGTGTCAAACAAGCAGTTGATCATTAATTGAAGCAGGGTGGTCAAATTTGTTTGAATGAGATGAATTGGTTTTTGCAGTGATTTTTGGTGAAGGGATATTATTGAGGTAGATGAAGCAACTCCATGGAATTAAGTCGTTGACCATTTTAAGTTTCCCAGTTAATTTGCAAAATAAAGCTCTACAAATCATTCAAGCTTTATCTTGGCCAATTTCTTTTAGTGGGGGAGAATTTGTGAGTTCTGTTGCTTCTTAAATTTTCATTGTTTCTTTGTTAATTTTACCTTAATATTCTTGTTTAGTTGTTTGCTCTTTTTGTTCCTCTTGCATAATTCTTTGGATTTTGAGTCTTTGATTATTAATTCCATATATCTTATTTTCATTGTTTTCTATTCTAGTTTGTTGGATCTTGAATATTAGGTTCTTGATTCTTAGTTTTCTTATTTCGTGGGTTCTACTTGTTYCTTACTTGAGTTTGACACTTTACAATCATTCCTATTTGAATTGTTACTTGTTTGCTTCATTAGCTTCTTGGTTGCAAACTCTTAGATCATCACCMTGTACTTGAGAGAGATTGTATCCTTGTGAGAGAGCATCATTTTGAAAGTAAACACGAGCGAACCACATCAATTGAGTGAACACGTGAGGGAGTGAATTGTGAGGTCCATTTTTCTTTAATTGTTTTCTCTTTTGCAGCAATGTCAAACTTAGGAGATAGACCTACTAATAGAGATGTAGAAGGGATGGAACCACAAGAACAACTCCTTGCGAGAGTCATGCAAAATGTGGAGACCATGATCAATGAGAGGTTAGATAGGATGGAGTAAAGACTTCAAGCAGGGATTGACCTCAAGGAAGAAGGCAGCCTGAAGAAGTTTTGGAGGAGGAAGAAGACTTAGGGCAAGAAGATGAAGATGAGGAGCCGGAGGTTGCAGTACCTAGAAGAGGAGAACGCCGAGGAGTGAGAGGAAGAGGAGGTTTCCAGAATAGAAGGCAACAAGGGAGGAGAGAAGACAACCATGTAGATCGGGGCTTTGGGAACATTAAGGTTAAATTTCCCAAGTTCCATGGCACTTCCAACTCGGAAGATTATTTAGAATGGGAACAAAAAGCTGAGCATATATTTTATGGCAACAACCTCACAGAAGAGAAAAAGGTAACTATCTCTGTTACGCATTTTAAGAGTTATGCACAGACTTGATGGGATAAGGTGTGTTCTAGGAGAAGGAGACGACAAGAAGGTTGAGTGGAAACTTGGTTGGAACTGAAGGAGCTTATGAGGAGGCGGTTCATACCACCACACTTCTTGAGAGATTGTGCACAGAAGCTTCAAGCTCTTCGCCAAGGAAACAAGAGTGTTGAAGAATATTATAAAAAGATGGAAACATTGATGGAAAGAGTAGACATTGATGAGAATGAGGAGAACACCATGGCACGATTTATAAATGGGTTAAACATAGAAGTGGCCTATCGTGTTGATTTGCAGATGTATGAGGATATGGAGGAGTTGGTGCACTTTTCGGTGAAAATTGAAAAGCAAATTCAAAGGCGTAAGTCGAGGTACGCTACTAAGAAACCTTTTTCAAACTCAACTTCGTCTTGGAAAAAGGATGGCAAATCAACTGACTCTAAATTTAAAGTGGGTAGTGAAAAACCTAAAGATAAGGGGGAAACTTCATCCAAACCCAAACCTAAAACTGACACACACACAKGTAGGAGTCGGGATCTYAAATGTTGGAAATGCCATGGGGTGGGACATATAAGTCGGGAATGCCCTAATAAGAGAACTATGATCCTTAGAGAAGGAGAGWTAGTAACAGATGCAAGTGAGGTAGATGAAGAAAGGGATGAGTCCATGAATGACCTAGGGAGTGAGGAAGAAGTAGAGGATACTACATACTTATCCTTAGTCACTAGGAGGGCTCTCAGTACCCACATGAGGGAAGATAACTTGGAGGATCAAAGGGAAAACTTATTTCATACACGTTGCCTTGTGCAAACCATACCCTGTAGTGTAGTGATTGATAGTGGGAGTTGTACGAATGTAGTAAGTTCTAGCTTGGTTTCACGACTGAGCCTAGATACTAAACCCCACCCACAACCTTATAAACTACAGTGGCTTAATGATTGTGGTGAACTCAGGGTGACTAAGCAGGTGAAAATTCCTTTTGCCATTGGAAGATATGAGGACGAGGTACTATGTGATGTGTTACCGATGCATGCAGGTGATATGCTCCTTGGTAGGCCTTGGCAGTTTGACAGGAGAGTTCATCATGATGGTTTTCTTAATCGTTACACATTCACACACAATGGTAAGAAAATTGTACTTGTTCCCCTATCCCCMAARRA